CCACTGAGACTATGGCCCCTCACCACCCTTCAGGTCTGGAATTGAATCCACACCTGTGGCTTCCAGCCAAGCAAAAGACAGGCATATGAGTTGAACATCTACCTGAGGTAGATACACTCCTTGGAGAGAACAATCATGGGAGAAAGAAGGGCTGTTGATGCACAGTGAGACATCTCAGGGGGCAGGAGGGCATGGAGGGATGGACACAGGGAGGAGGTAATTATCGGGAGAAAGTGGGAAGGGAGCTGCTGCATTGTGGTAAATTGTGGTCAATGTTATGAGTCAAAGTATATGTGAACTGCTGTATGGAAAGTGAATTTGCTCTGTAAATTTTCACCCAAATCACAATAAAAAATAAATAATAAAAAAAATGAGGAAACTGAGTAACTTACTACTCAAGCATCTTAGTTATCTATTGCTGCTATAAAAGAAATACCACACATGGGTGGCTTCATCAACAGAAATTTATTTTCTCACTGTTTAAGAGTCTGCAAGTCTGAATTCAGGGCACCAGCTCTAGAGGCATTCTTTCCTTCTGTCTTGTCTCTTTTCAGCTTCTAATTCTAGGTTCCTTGACAATCGTATGGCATGTATCTTCACCTCCATTTATGCTTGCTTGCCTACTCTTTTGTATCTCAAAAGATTTCAAGACACATCCTACACTAATATTGCCTCATTAACACAACAAAGAAACCCCATTCCCAAATGGGACCATAAACACAGGTATGTTGTTGTGTGCTGTACACTCAATTTCTACTCACAGTGACCCTAAAGGAAGGAGAACTAGCCCATAAGGTTTCCTAGGCTGTAGTATGTACAAGAAGGAGTTCCTGTGATGTTGTGGCCAAGGCATTCAGCTGCTAATCAAAAGGTTGGAAGTTTGAACCCACCATGTAGCTAAAACTATGGCAATGCATGAGATTGCCCAGGTAAAGCACAAAGTAATAAGACACATGGGCTGAAAATAGAACTTTAAGAAACTCTAGGGGAAGATAACAAGTTGCTCATAAAGAAGATGAAAGGATACAGTCAGAAAAGTAGGATAATTAAAAGCTTGGGTAAAAGAAATGACAGTATTTGGAGGTGAGACAATGAGACTGGTGGGTAGGATAGGCAAAGGATAAAAAGGAGTTAAAGAGGATACACTACTAATACCCATCTCTCTCTGTTGACACCTACTTTTTAGAGTTCAAATGAAAAATTGAGCTTATAGTTTTCTGCCTAAGGCATCTGACTGCTAACCAGAAGGCTGGTGGTTCAAACCCACTAGCCACTCCTCAGAAGGAAGGTTAGGCAATCTACTTCTGTAGAGATACCCCCTCAGAAATCCAAGGAGGGGTCACCATGAGTGAAATCAACTCAACAGCAGTGAGTTTGATTTGAGTTTACGGCATTCTAAGATCAGAAAAAAATTCCTAAGACCAAGGAAAACCTTCAACACAGTAAGGTATACTTTAAGATCAGAGAAAAAAGATTGTCAGGAGTATATTTAATGTAACAGTAAGAGATGTTGAACCTACATGGATCCTTAGTTCTCAAGACCTCTGGTAGCATACACAGAGAAAGTAAGTAAGTCTAACTTGCTCAAACTTGTTTTAAATAGGGATTTCTGAAAAACTGCTTGTAAAGAAAAGCAAAGCTACTCATAATTTTTGAAAATTTACCATATTGCTAACTATTTTAAAGGTATCTTACAGTAAATAAACATTTCACAAAGTAAATCCTCTTATAAGTTTGAATTTTTATGTTTTAGATATAAAAACCAGTTGCCATTGAGTCAATTCCAACCCCGTGTGTTTCAGAATAGGGCTACGCTCCATAGAGTTTTCAATGACTGTGATCTTTCAGAAGTACAGCACCAGTCCTTCCTTCAGAGGTGCCTCTGGATGGATGCAGAACAACAACCTTCCAATTAGCAGCTGATCATATTAATTGTAGGAGCTCTGGTAGCACAGTGGCTAAAGCACTTGACTGCTAACCAGAAGGCTGGCGGTTCAAACCCACCAGCCACTCCTCGGAAGGAAGGTTGGGCAATCCTACTTCCGTAGTG